GACAGATAAATACATAGATAGAGACAGATAGATACACAGACAGATAGATAGATAGATAGATAGACAGACAGACAGACAGACAGATAGATAGACAGACAGACAGACAGACAGACAGACAGATTAGATAGATAGACAGACCGATAGATAGATAGACAGACAGATAAATACATAGATAGAGACAGATAGATACACAGACAGATAGATAGATAGATAGATAGACAGACAGACAGACAGACAGATTAGATAGATAGATAGATAGATAGACACTGGAGAGCATCTGAAAGAGGAATAAAACAATTACATTATTACTTTTTGTTTATGGTTTTTGCCAGTTATCTGAGTGGAGAATTACAGTTATAATATTAATATAAGAGTTCAGGCTCTTTTTAATCATTTATCAACATTTAAAACTATTAAACAGGTTGGTTAGGTGCAGTAAACAATCATGGACAACCTTCATGTTTTGGTCCCATCAGGACAATGGATTTGGAACGGATTCATTTTGTTAACACGTTTCTATCTTTTAACATTTTAACAGTTTATAAATGTCCCCATATATACACAATACATATAATTAACCCTTATATAATTAGGAACATGTAGTTTAGTTATTGAATTAAATTGGTTAAAATTAAAGTAAATTTGATAGAATTAACCTTTATAGGGTTAATTCTTTCTGTTGCCATTCAAAAAAGTGAGGATGTGGAGAGCAGTAGATCAGCTTCAGATCTAGAAAGTCTTGCGAAATCTTTGTGTCTCATTGACTATGAACAATAAATGACAAAAATGTGCAATTTGCGAATATACTCATTAAATCTAAGTAAAAAGCAGCAAAATATTGATTAACTGATAATTAATCTAATATTAGCCAATCATCTCTGTTTAATTCATTATGATTTTACAGTAGCACAATAACGTGAATTTCCAGCACGTGTGGATTTGTGGTAATTGCAGTCACTGGGTGTGGGTCTGGGTGTGAGTGTGGGTGTGGGTCTGGGTCTGGGTGTGAGTGTGGGTCTGGGTCTGGGTGTGAGTGTGGGTCTGGGTCTGGGTGTGAGTGTGGGTCTGGGTCTGGGTGTGAGTGTGGGTGTGGGTCTGGGTGTGAGTGTGGGTCTGGGTCTGGGTGTGGGATGTCGCCTGTGCTCGGCTGCTGTGGTCTGCCGCGGCTGCGCTGAAGTGCTGTTCGCGGAGCAGCAGCGCGACGCGCGATCGGCAGCCGAGAGTGACACAGCGGCGCAACCGGGTAAGAGAAACACGTCTCTCTCATCCTACTCCTACTCTGACCCTCTCACTGGCGCTACGACTCCTCGAGTATGCTAACTGTCCGTCGATTTTTATTGTCCTCCATTGGCATGGCGATTGTAAAATTATATATATATATATTTTTTTTTTAGAAGATGCAGTATAAGGTAGTGCTAGCAAAGTTTACCCCTCAAACGCCTGCGTTTGGATTTCCCCGGAAGTGAGTTGTCCACTTTTTTGCGTGTCTGCTGGTCTTTGTCGTTTCTTTTCGGTGTCCCCCTGGATTAGTTTCGAGTACACGTTCACATATAAAAACTACAACCCGTGTGTTTCCGCTTGAGGCGAATTGTTTCGTGTAGGAGGCTGGGAAGTGTAGTTTATACATAGTGGTGCGCATGTCGTGCCAACGTAGAAGACCTGTTCTAAAAAACTACACTAACCAGCATGCATTGCGTTCTCTCAGCTGCGGCTAACCTCCGATGCTAAATAGCAAATTAGCTTACGAGGTCTGACTATTAGCCTTCAAGTTATTTGGTTACATTATCAGGGAGTTTATGTAATAAACTTTGAGGTAAGTGTCTGTTGCGCCGGTTCACTAATGAGAACAGACTGAGAATATATCTGTACTGGAGCTAAAGCTACTGTTCATTTGCATGCTCTGTCCTGTTTGGGGTAACCGTCAGGAGATAGACGCGTATCTGAACCAGGACTCGCAGGTTCGGCACTGAAATCACTATAGTTTTTGACATACAAATAATATATATGTTATTCGCCAGATTGATGTATTAGAGTGCGTAGCAGTGAGTGAATGATGAGGCCGATGAGCTGCTTTGAGGCTTTGTTAGCACACGGAGTCTTCCCCTTGTTTTACTACCAGGCAACCAGTTCCATTAAATCCTCTCGTATTTGACGGAAATGGGCAAAATGTAAGGATCTGCGCGAGGTTGAATCATATAGTTAACAAATGTTTGGGTTTTAAACACCAAACGTAACTGAACACCACCATAACCCCGCCTGAAGTGTCACTCACTGACAGCACACAAAAAAAGCAATGTGAACTGGATTTGTGTTGGCATTTCTTGAAACAGTCCTACAGTTTTCTATGTTGTCTCTTCTTCTATGATTCAGAAGAAATTGTTAGGACAAGTGTGATTACCGATCGGACAAATGCTCTTGTAGGACATTTAAAGACAATCATTCAATGTGAAATTCTTGTAGGTCCCCATGTGATTGACTTTATCCAGATACATGTCAAAATGATCAAAAATAAACAAGTAGTGCTTGACTAATATGAGTGTTCTTAATGGCCAATAAAGCTGATCTGTGAGATATTACAGTACAATTCAACTCAAAGATAGTAAATCACAGACAATATTGCTGCAATTTATTTGACAAAATATTTTAAACTTCTGTTTAAAAAAAGACAAGCTTGAAATGCAAGAGTTCTATAAATGTCATGGGCTTTTTTTTATGACCCATTAGGATTTATAGAAATTGTATGAAGGATTATAGAAATGTATAACTAGAGGATTTACATTTTCCTCTGTAAAGCAAGGAGTTGCTTCAAAACACTGCCTTAATTACAAAAATAGCACAAATGAGAGCTTGGTTTTCACACCTAATTTTTCAAGGTTTAAAAGGATTTATATCGAGGCTTCAAATAGCGTAATCATGCTACAACATAGAAATGAAAGCATCAGTTGTAATTCTCCACGGTTCGAGTGTAAAACACTTTTAGAAACATAAATTAGGGTGGCGTAGCTGTTCAACAGCATTATGATTTAAAGCAAACATGCTTAAGTAGACAATACTTAATAGATACAATAGATTTGTGCAGACAGTGAGGTCCGTGATCCGAGGGATGCACGATATTATCGGATCAATATCGGAATCGGCCGATAATGGCTTTAAATATCGGCATCGGCCCGATATGAAAAATTATGCCGATAAGAGGAATACATTAGCTCACATGTGCTCAGGGTGTGCTAGCGATTAGATCACGTCAGCATTGTGGCTCATTCTTGAAGCAAAGTTTTGCCTGAATGGTGATTAGATTCACTGTTTTGGATCTGCATTTAAACTGAGAATGCACGTACAGATGACGTTAGGTGTGTGATAGAGTAAACAGTTAATAGCACTGCAGCGGCAGCCTCCCCCGGGTCCTAACGCCTGCTCAGTAAGGAGTTTTAATTCTGTAGGGGGCGCTGTTGGCCTACTTCTAATAAAATGAAAGCAAAATACACAAATAATATTTAGACTGTGTTTCTGATTAAATAAACCAGTAATTGGTGCCATAAAATCATGAGTATGTTTTGATTTAAAAGGTCAGAAGCTATAGCTTACATGAACAAACAAAAAATCACAAACATGACACTTAAATTAAATAATTTCATATATACTGATTTCTTTATTAATGTGTAATATGTGATATTTTTTAAAATAAATTATGAGCTCTAAAAGATTTTCTGAAATTTTACAACTCTTTTGCTTTAGACCATTTACAAATGTTAAATCATAAAATAAAATGTTAAGGTTACCACTGCATCTTTCTGAAAAAAATGCAGTGATTAATATATAGTTTATTTATAGTTATTTTCAAATCTTCAATGTACTGTAAGATTTTCTGAAATTTTACAACTCTTTTGCTTTAGACCATTTACAAATGTTAAATCATAAAATAAAATGTTAAGGTTACCACTGCATCATTCTGGAAAAAAAAATGCAGTGATTAATATATAGTTTATTTATAGTTATTTTTAAATCTTCAATGTACTGTAATTATAAAATAACTTTATTATTGTTTATTTAATTCTTACAAATAAGTTCTTGTTAAAAACTAACCAAAATTAAAAAGAATTATATATCGGCATCGGTTATTGGCCAAAATGAGTTGAAAATTATCGGCATATCGGCAAAAATCCAATATCGTGCGTCCCCAATTGTGTTATTTCTGGGTAGATGGGTAGTAGTGGTTTGCATTGTAATTTAACTGTAAATATGAAAACATCATGTAAAAATATTCCTGTTTTCACTGTACACTCAGTATGTTCCTCCAAATTCACAGACAGAATGCCAGAAGGAGACAGTGCCGGTGAATCCATCCATGGGAAACCATCAGCGATCGGAAACTTCTTTAAACGGCTCGGGCAGGTCAGGCTCTTGGAAATGACTGTTCGAGTGATTTTGAGTTTTCGGATCATGAGAACTGTTTCTCTTTGAAATGCAGATTTATCAGTCATGGTTGGACAAGTCAACACCGTTCTCAGCAGTCCGATGGGCGGCCACTCTTATCCTAACGGCCATATATATGCTCAGAGTATATATACTACAGGTAAAAACACCATGCTTTAGAAATAATACTCTCGCAGCTGTTTAGGAATGTTTGCATCTGTTTTATCCGTTATCATGCAGTTGTAGACTAATGGGAATGTTCTTGCATTTTTTATTACAAAAGGTGAATCAAATGTAACAAAACACTTCTGTCTTTTATTAGGGGTGGTACATAGTCACATATGCTCTTGGGATCTACCACCTAAACCTCTTCATTGCTTTCCTCTCTCCAAAAGTGGATCCCTCATTGCTGGATGATCCAGGTAGGACTGGGATTTAAAATGATCTAAGGGACCGTTTATAGGTTTTCAGCCAAAAACTGGAAACTTTTCATGCGTTTTGCCTGTTCGTTTACACGACAACGTCGTTTTGGGGACTGAAAACACATCTTTTTGAAAACGGGTTTCAAAGTGCAAGTTTTTGAAAACGCCACCGTTATCGTTTCCGTGTAAACACCCAAAACGGGAATCTTTGAAAACGGTGACGTCATGCTCGTGCGTAGTACGTGTTCGGTATGTAGACATGCGCAGTACGTGTCGATTTTAAAGGCAAGCGCGAACAAACATACACAACAATGGCGGAGTACATGGTACTGTTGTTGCTGTTTAAGGGTGCTTTCACACTAGCACTTTTGGTGCGCACCCGGGTTCGACTGACGTCAGAGTTCGGTTCGTTTGGATGATGTGAACGCTGTCTTCCGAACTCGGGTGCGCACCTGTGAACCGTACCAGAGTCCGCTTAAAAAGGGTGGTCTGGGGTACGGTTCAAGTGAACTACGGTACGGTTCGCTGCTGATGTGAACGCAATCGTACCAGATCACGGAAGTGAACCGCTAGTAATGACGTATTATTTGATAAAAATGTGTGTTTCACTCACTTTCCTGACGAGCGTGACTGACGCACTGCAAACTGAGCTGTATATCTCATTTCTGTTCGCCTTGAGCATTCTTTAGAGCATTTGCAGTACATTCGTAAGACAGACGTAAGTGCCGTTATGTACCGGATATAAAAGGAACGGTTCAAAAACTTAAATATATAAAAGTGCAGTGAGCAATGTTATGCATTTGCCGCCTTCTCCTGCACCATCGTTACTAAGCAACGGGGTAAACAGCTGCTGGCTTGATGACACAAACGAACCGCGTTTCGGACCCAAATAAAATATGAACGCAGTCCAGCAGGGGGAGGGGGGAGCACTCGAACTCGGGTTCGGACCAGGAAAGCGAACCAAGTGTGAAAGCACCCTAAGAGTTTGCTAACGCTTCTTCAGCAAAGTGTGGATTTACTTCACCAATATTACAACCAACAGCGGAGACGCATCATATACATCATATAATCGTCACTTTCCTACAGGTACTGTTTACTAACAAGGTGACAGCGCCAACTACTACCAAGTACTTACTATTCGCGTTTACACATATCTGCGAAAACGACCAAAAACGCTGTATTACGTAGCGTTTTTGGCCGTTTTCACGGATATGTGTAAACGCGAATCATTTTGAAAACGTCGTGTATCCATGAAACTTTTTAAAAAACAAGGGAAAAACTTTTCAGTTTTTGACTACATCGTTCTCGTGTAAACGTAGCCTTACTGTCATCACTGACATTTGCATCGTTTTTATTTTATTGTTTCCTAATTGATGTCCCTTCACTAGATGAGGGTCCAGAACTACCCACAAAACAGAATGAAGAGTTCCGGCCGTTCATCAGGAGGTTGCCAGAATTCAAATTCTGGTGAGTTGGCACATTATGGATTGTAAAGGTATCATTCACCCAGAAATGAAAATTCTGCCATCATTTACTCACTTTCGAGTTGTTCCAAACCTGTATGAGTTTCTTTCTTCTGCTGAACACGAGGAATGTGAGTAGCCGAACAATTGCTAGTAGCCATTGGAAAAACAATACTATGGAAGTCAATGGCTACCAGCAACAGTTTGGTTGCCAACATTCTTAAAATATCTTTGTGTTTGTAAGAAGAAAGGGTTACACTTTATTTTAAGGTGTCCTTGTTACAGTGTAATTACACAATTAAGTATTTAAAATAAAGAAA